AGTTATAGTAATCGCAAAAAATCGAAAAAGAAAATTTTTATATATTTTTACGTTTCAGGGGTTTCTGAACATTTTGGCATACCTTAGAAAAAATGAATGTATGTGTGTGTATGTGTGTGTGTGCGGATACAAATTTTCGTTGACGATTTCGGGAACACGGATAAAGCGATTTGAATAATTCAAAAAACATTCGATTTGTATTGATAAGGAGACGTACTGATTAGTTTTTGGTGAAGGCAGGTCTAGCCGTTCCGAAGATATGGGGCAAAAAGTGCCAAAAACGGTAACTCAGTTTTTAAGAGAACGGAGCATTTTACTTGTATTGACAAGATGAAGAATTGATCAAATTTTCATGAAGGCAGGTCTAGCGGTTTCGGAGATCTAACAAAAAAAAGTAAAAAAATGCCATTTAGCGGTCAAGACATATGCACATCAAATTATCAGATATTTTATAGAGATTTTAACAATAGGTATAAATTTTGTTTACATTCCTATGGGTTCCGTACCAATGTTTATCCGTTAAACGGCGACGCGGCGCTTACGCGCTTCGATATTTCGTCTTTATGCAGTGAAAGCAGTACGATTGCTTTGAAAAAAAATTCAGAGTTTTCAAAATATTTCAAAATAAATGATTTAAGATAGAATGATTTAATATGGTTCGAAATTCTATTAAAAGTTTCAAATCATTGATCAACTTTTATTGATTATTATTGATTATTTTTAATTGCTCGAATTTTGAATTGCGGTACGGGAAGTTCCAGCAATTTGCCTTCAGACATGATGCCTTAATTGCCTTAAGACAGAATTCCACTTACAGCTAGTTGAAAACGTCGTTCTTGAGAACATTTTTTTTGAAAATATTAATCATTAAAATTCGATTTTTTTCAATATTATGACGTTTTTCACAATTTCGAAATTTTTAATATTTTTTGAAAGTTTTGAAATTTCTTGAAAAAGTTCAATAAAAACATGACATTTTGAAACATTTGAAAAAAAAAAGATTTTGTTTATGAACATTTTGAATTTATTTAATTTTTTTGCAAAACTTTGATTTGATTTTAAAATTCCGAAAAATCAAAAGTTTAAACTCTCCTAAACCGCTAGACCTGCTTTTCTAAAAATTCAGTCAATTTTTTATTCTGCGAAAAGTAAAATGTTTCTTGAAATACTCGATTTGGATGCGCCGTTTTCCCAAAAATTAAAAAACCATTTTTGGCACTTTTTGTCCCGTATCTCTGAAACGGTTGGACCTGCTTTGGTCAAAAACTAATCAGCAAGTCTGATCATCAATACAAATCAAATGTTTTGAATCATTCAAATCAGTCAATTCATGCTTGCGAAATCGCCGACAAAAAATTGTATCCGCACATACATACACACATATCCATATTCGCCAAAACGTTCAGAAATCTTTGAAACGTAATAATATACAAAAACTCAACAACTATCATGATTTTTTTTAATTTCTCGAATGAAATTATTTCACAAAAAAATCTGACTTGATAATTTTAAACAGAAAATTTATAAAGTAACCAAAACTAATTTAGATATGAACAAAGTAGTAACTGATATATAGATTTTTACGGTTTTTAATAATTTTGTTGAATAATCTTCGGACACATTAGAAATGATCCTCCCAAAAATCCATTACTACAGGCAATAGGATTATACATGGGCATTTTCCACTCACTGCCATCATTTCTCCTTCCCTAAAAAAATCTCAAAATATTGATTCAATATTCTCATTATTTCTTAATCCGATTATATTTCCTGGGCGAAAGTACATTTCGATGTTTCCTCGTGGAAAAGTGGAAAAAGTCTCCTCCGTCCACCACTAATACTAATATTTTATTTTATTTGGCTTATATAGAATAAATCTGTAAAATAAGAGAGAGCGCAGAAGAAAAAAGTATTTCCAATTATATTTGAATACTTAAGAATTAAAGTCTAAGTAGGATTATGTAATTGAGAATTATTCATAAGTATTTACATTGTATCACGTTCACTTTTATATTTATATGCGAGGAAACGAAAAATGAAATAAATCACTTCGGTCACGGAGATAATGATAAAGGAGACAAAATAAAGGAAAATATTTTGCATTTAAGGTACTTATTACATTTAACTTCCTGTAGGGTAGTTATAGTAATGGGCCTAAAATCGAAAATGAAAATTTTTGCATTTCTCGACGTTTTGAAGGTTTCTGAACATTTTAGCAAACCTCAGAAAAAATTGATGTGTGTGTGTGTTTTTATGTTCGCATTTTTTCATCCACGTTTTCGGGCGCACGGATCAACCGATTTGAATGGTTTCAAAAACCATTTGATTCCTATTGATAGGGAGATGTGCTAATTAGTTTTTGGCAAAGGCTGGTCCAGGCGTTTCGGAGATACGGAGCAAAGAGTGCAGAAAATAGAACTCGAGTTTTTGAGAGATTAGAGCATCCGATTTGAATGATCCAAAAAACATTCATATCGTAATGACGAGGAGAAGGGGTGATTAGTTTTTCGCAAAGGCAGGTTTAGCAGTTTCGGAGATACAGAGCTAAATGTGCAGAAAATGGCAGTTTTTAAGAGAACTAAGCGTCCGATTTGAATGATTCAAAGAACTTTCTGCTTGTTTTAACAAAATAATTGCTTTGAAAAAAAATTGTTTAATTTTTTTTTTCAAAAAATATATTTTTTGAATATAGAAAATAATTCTGATTTTAATTGTAATTTTGACTTAAATTCTAATATACTTAAAACAAATATTTTCAACTTTGCAATTCAGTTTATATAATCTTTCTAGGCAATATTACTGTATTTATTTATAATAATCTATTTAAATTCATTTAATATTTCTCGAATATTTCGTTACTGTACGGGAAGTTTCAGCAATTTGCCTTAAGGCACGATGCCATACACACCACTAGTTATGACAAAAATCATCTAAATTCTGGTAAAATATATTACTATAAAATATTACTATAAAATATATTCTAAAGTATTATAAAGGTTTAGAATACATGAAAATCAAGTTTCCGAGAAAAATATTTGAGCAAAACAAAAAACTTCAGATAAGGTATGAAGCTACAGGAAAGTTCATCAAATTCATTAAAACGACTACCAGTTTAGTCCAGTTTTGTCTTTTGGATCAATTTTGTAGCCAAAACTTGCTGTAATCATAATATTTGGTTGATAAAAAATCAAAAAACAAAAAAATGAAAACTCAACTTTAGATTTTGTTGGTTTAAACAAAAATGCTGTAATCATATATTCGATACCAGAAAAGTCTCAAAATCAATAAGGCATTTTCAATTACTCGAGGACTGTGACTGTCATTCCTTATTTCCAATAAACTATCAAAATCCTGGAGCAATATATATTCAAATATCCATCATTATCAATTTTTCCTTCACCGGTAGTTATCGATATCAAATCAAAACGAATATCGAACGAACGGGGAAATTATTATTTAAATGAAAACGAAGCAAAAAGATGAGGGAAAAAATCCACATCTGCTTTTCCTCCTGCTCCTGTTCAGTAAGAATCCTGTTATGAATAATTCATGAAGTTATCAGGAGCGAAATGAAGGTTTGGAAATTGAAATTGTGCTGAAAATATAACATTAATATTTTCTTCTTCTTCTTGTGCAGACGCAACAATAAGAAATATCCTCTGACATTGCGGAGCAAGATCTTTCATATATATGATAAATTCTTGGACTAATAATATCGTGTCTAGTTTTCATGACACGTAAATGGAGAAGATAGAAAATCGTCTGAAGAAAAATTCTACATTTAATTGTAGACAGTTTAAAAAAGTAATAAATTAATTGGCATAGTCGTCCAATAGATTTTTTAGTGCTTCCCTTTACACTTACACCTTGCCCAAAGGTGTGCATAGTTTTTAAAAACAAAATGTTTTAAAGGAGTTGTGTATCATCCGAATGCATATTCGATCATTCACTGAATTTTCATTATATACTTATGTTATTAACTTCCCGTAGGGTAGTTATAGTAATGGGCCGAAAATCGAAAATGAAAATTTTTGCATTTCTCGACGATTTGAAGGTTTCTGAACATTTTGTCATACCTCAGAAAAAATGGATGTGTATGTTTGTGTTTTGTATGTCCGCATTTTTTCGTCCACGTTTTCGGGCGCACGGATCAACCGATTTGAATGATTCATTTACCATTCGATTCCTATAGATGGGGAGATGTGCTGATTAGTTTTTGGCAAAGGCAGGTCCAGCCGTTACGGAGATACGGAGCAAAGAGCATAAAAAATACAAATCGAGTTTTTGAGAGAAAGGAGTATCCGATTTGAATGATTTAAAAAACATTCAATTTGTAATGATTGGGAGAAGAAGTGATTAGTTTTTGGCAGAGACAGGTCCTGCCATTTCGAAGATACAGAGCTAAATGTGCAAAAAATGACAGTTTTCTGCTTGTATTGACAAAACAATCGCTTTTGAGGATAATAAATTATTACATCAACAAATATTTTTGTAATTTTGGATTAAAAATTCAAATAAAAAAATTATCCTGGCTAAGAACAGTCTAAGCGCCACTCTGGTACAAATGTTTAGCCAAGTGCGTTTAGACTGTTTATGTACTGCACGGAGCACTTTTCCAATTTTGTGAAAACTATTGAAAAATGTAAAAATACCTCCAAGCTAAGCACAGTATAAGTGAAAATGTCGCACAAAATTATTCGCAAATGCGTTTAGACTGTGACCATACGGGAGCACTTCTTCAATTTTGTGTAAATTAGGCAACTATTTTTTTTTTGAAATTCAATTCGAAATGAAATGACGATTGTCAATGTTCTGGAGATAAATTGATTTATGATTTACATTGTTCAGATATAACAAGATAGCAAAAATTATGAAAGTTATAGTTTTTGTAATAATAGATTTGAAAACGTTTAAAATTTTTCGAATATTTCATTACGGTACGGGAAGTTCCAGCAATTTGCCTTAAGGCACGATGCCATACACCACTAGTTTATATTAATATGTATTTCTTTCTGTTTTCAGTATCAACATCATTGAGAGATGTGACGTTGACTCTGCCAGAAGCGATACCATCAGGGGAATCCGTTACTCTAAGATGTCAATACGATTTAGAAGGTAATAAAACATATTTTATTTAAATAATTGATAGACCTCTTGTAAAATAAGCTTACAGTGTTATCTTACTAATAGATAAGAGAGCTAGAATAAAAAAAAGTTAATTTAAATTTAAGACTCTTCTTCAGGGTTATTCGAAAGACTATTATAGTCATACTATTTCAGTTAAAATTTTTATTACGTTCTACTATAAAAACATATTTTTTTCCTATACGATTCGTTCTTTTTTCGATGTCACATAAAACATTTCCGCTCCAATATTCGAAATGTGCAATAATATTCCCTTTGTAACAAAATCACGTACACTCGTGTAGGTACATCATCGATTTTATGTGTTGTACAATTTTCGCCCCGATGTGTATTTACAAGCCACATAAAAAAATATATCCGAAATAAATCCATCCATTGACTATACATGAACCCCGACACGACACATGTTTTACTAAAAATACTCTTTTTCATAAAAATATGTATGAGGGACTCTACTGACGAGGAAAATGACTATGTAATGTTATCTAAATGCAACTGACTTTTAGAATGAGGTTATGTTTTGTCAAAGAAATCGATCAAATAATAGAACATATGTATAGAGTTGACAAAGCCAAGTAATGTAACAAAACATTTTCTAAATGCGATGCAATTTTCATACTGGCAATTTCACAATTAATCATGAAGTGTTTGTTAAAAATATATAAATCAATAATAAAAATCACTCACCGTCACTGATGAAACCCCAAAATCCTTTGCCGACTTATTTATTCACACAGCACTTTTGTTATTATCCTGAAATAATAAAAAAATCACTTAATATCAAACAAAACACTTATACAGTTTTTTTAACATAATAGGAAAATATCAAATATGTACTCGACTTGTAATTTTAATGTTTTCTCTACGTTTCTAGTCATTCTGAATCGTTCGAGACCTTTGTGAAAAAGTATGTATATGAGTCGATTTTTAATTTTTTGTTAACGTTTTCTCTGAAAATCGGGTAAATCGATTTCAAAAATTTAAAAGTCATTTGATGTAACTAGATAACGACTACCGTCTGTCAGTTTTGTGCAACAATCGGCCAAGCCGTTTCTAATCAACAGAAAAGTCTACAAATTTTCGTACATGTTTTAGCCAAAAATACTGCATCGTTTTTAAACATTCAGAAACTGTTTGAAAGATATCATTTGGGAATCGTTCTGATTAGTTTTAAGAGATCGGACGGATCGTTTCTTCGTATTTAATTGTTAAATATTCATATTAATATATTTTTACGATGACAGTTTGAAAAAATGAGCAGCACTTTTTAACGTGAGGCAAATTTTCATCTTTAGTCCACGTTTTTTTAAAAATGCGCAATCATATTTGAAAAATCGATGAAATTCGATAAGCACTCGTGCTGGTTACTTTTGCTTCACGATCGGCCGAGCCGTTTCTTTAGGATTATCAAAAGTGTAAAATATCTTATTCACGTTATAGTCTAAATTCGTGAATCGATTTTGAAAATCCAAAAACCACTACAAAGGTACTATTTGAGAATCGTGCTGATTAGTTTTTGTCGATGATCGGTCGAGTCGTTTCTCAGTTATTAATTGACAAATTCTTTTGGCGAGTTTTGGATCCTGTTCTTAATGAACATACTATACGTTTTTTTCTTATTCAATAATACTTAATTTTGAAACCATTTATAAAAAATAACTAACATTGGCCATTAGTTTGACCGCCTCTTAATCTAGCGGTCTTTCAATTTGGCCGCGTTTTAATTCAGTGGACTTTCAATGCGACCGCTTTTTATTATGGCCGCTTTTTGTTATGGCCGCCTCAAAAGGGGCGGGCCCTGCTTGGACGCCATTTTAGTAAGTGTCAAAATGGTGATCTCTGATTGGTTGAGGATTTTGGACAGTGTTACCACTTTGGCAAATATTAACCGTTAAGAATAATTCGTTAGAAACCGTTAATAGACCGATAATTTACCAAATTTATATATATGTTTTAGTTTTTTATCAATTTGGAACCATTTGAGCCCCTGGGAGCAAGGAAATTCGAAAATGTCCAAGTTAAGGACATTTTCGAATATATATATATATATATATATATATATATATATATATATTTATATATATATACTAGCTGACCTGGCAAACGTTTTAGCTATTTTTGAAAAATATTTTTAGACAGTATAGAAACAAACAAAAAACAATATTAAGAGCTAAAACTTTAAGAGAATTGTTTTTTATCAATTTGGAACCATTTGAGCCCCTGGGAGCAAGAAAATTCGAAAATGTCCAAATTAAGGACCACTCTAATATATATATATATATATATATATATATATATATATATATATATATTTATATTTATATTTATATTACGGATACAGGATTAGATTTAATAATTACAGAAAATAAATTATCTTAATTGAAATAACTGCAGTAAAATACAACTATTAAAAATATTAAGCCTAACATAAGCAATATCTAATACAATAACTTGAAGAAAAATAAATGTAATAAAATTCAAATAGTTTAATTAAGGCTTGTAGATCTTGAGAGTCTTTTTATGGTAAAAAAATCCTTTAAATATCCGTTATGCAATTTTTACTTGTGTCTCATATCTGGAAAATAATAAGAGCAGTATCAAAAAAGAATATATAATATGAAAAAATACTTAAAGTAGAAAAATGTTAAAATAATTTAGAATAAAAATTAGAAAAAGTATTGAAAAAGGAAAAAAAATTTAACTGTTGGAAAAAAAGAATCAATTATTATCAGTGTCAGTAGGCATTTCATTATCAAAATAATGTTTGATATCAAAATTGGCAAACTCAGAAGTATCGTAGAAACTTTGAGCTATTAAAAGTTTAACAATAGTATTATGAAATTGACGATCATTCAGTTTCCTAATATGTAGTGGGAGTAGATTAAAAAGTTGTATATATATATATATATATATATATATATATATATATATACTAGCAAACCCGACGAACTCCGTTTCGCCACCAGATGGTTTCGAGAGAAAGATGAAGAAATTTTTTGTTTGTTTTATATTTGAAAAGAAAAAATTTGATTTTATTATACAACAGTAATGAATTTATTTCGATTACAAAAATGAAGCGTTTTTAGTTGAACTTCTCTAAGTAAATAAAAGTGAATCCGCAAATTATCCGTTTCATTGAAGTGCTCTCTTTGGTAAACCATATTTTTTATTTTTTGGTTTGACGTTAACTTAAACAAAGCGGATGGTTTTCCAACTCGTGAACAGGCAACGTATAACTGTCCATGTGAAAAACAATGATTTTCTAAATAATCTATTTGAAATTTATCCCGCAATCACTAAGCGATTGGTCTTGCGACTTGTTATTGCGAACGCAAGGCGAACTGGAAATTGCAATCGTTCGAAATCAAACCAAATTGCCAGCAATTTTTGATTGAATGGTGAAATTCAGTGCGTGTACATCATTATTCTTTGCGGCAAGAATTGCTCGTTGACTTAACCAAGCATAATTCTGATAATTCTCACTAATGTCATTACTCGAATTCTTAATTACGGTGCGTGAAGTTCCAGCAGCTTGCATTAAGGCACGATGCCATGCACAATGAATTTTCTTAGCTATAAACCTTGCGGAGCTCGAGACCTTTCCAACGAATGCAAAATTGTCGAAATCGGTTCGTGCGTTCTGGAGTTATTTCGTCAGGAAGGAAAACCCGACTTATTTTTATAAATATAGAAGATATATATATATATATATATATATATATATATATATATATATATATATATACTAGCTGACGCGGCAAACGTTGTTTTGTCATAAAAAATATTTCTAGTCAAATTCATGTTTTCATCATAAGGCCAAAAAAAAAGAATTTAAATTCAGTAAAAAAACACTCCCTGACGAAAAGCGTGGTGATAACTTATTCGATTACTAAAATGACTATTATGAACTAGAGTTTGTAAAAATAGGGTGAAAATTGGAAGTTCTATGCATTTTTTAATTTCGCCTTACAAAATTGAAATTAAAAGACAATTGATTCCAAAGGTCGACTCTCTATAATTTATTTTCCTTTCGCAGGTGACCCCCTGTACACTGTGAAATGGTACCGCGGCCGAAGCGAGTTCTTCCGCTATCTGCCCAAAGAGTTGCCGCACACGCGCACCTTTCCCGGCGCCGGCCTGTCGGTCGACGAGGGAAAGTCAGGGCCGCATCAGGTCGTCCTGATGGACCTCACGCCCGCCATGTCGGGCAGGTACAGGTGCGAAGTGTCGGCGGACGCGCCATCCTTCGACACCGCCATGGTCGGCAAGTACTTGACAATTGTGGGTAAGTGGATAAATGATAATAAATAGATCTACGACAATATTTTTTTATTTGACTTAGCGTTAAAAGTTGAAACACTAGACTTCTCTTGATGGAGTATTTTCAGAATTATTAGCCATTTCATGTAACAATAGCGTCGTATAAGATTTCGTTGTATTTTTATTGTTCTTTTGAAGGAAATAAAAAAACTCTGATATATAGTTTGTCATTTAAAATGAATACTTGAACTTAAAGTGTTGTTGATTGAAGTAAAACTTCTAATGCGACTTAATTTAAGTTTACTGTGAAGAGTGTATAAAATTCCTTAGCAGAGGTTTCCCGAAATTCTAGATTGTACAAAAAAGTTCTAGCTAGGTTACACTTGATGTAGAACTAGATCTATCTAGAATATTCTACAGTCTAAAAATGTTCTAGATGGTTTAAAAATGATGTAGAATGTCTAGAAATGTTGTAGAGAGCTGGAAATTTTGCAGATAGTCCGACAATATTCTAACTAGCCTACAAATATTCTAAATAGCCTGTAAAGTTTTTAGAGAGTTGCAAATGTTCTAAATCGTTCGAAAATCTTCTTCTAGATAGTCTGAAAATATTCAAGATAATCTGCAAATATTTTGGATAGTCTGAAAGAATTTTAGCTAATATGATAATGTTATAGATAGTCTAAAAATATTGTAAATCGTCTGAAAATGTTACAATAATTTTTTTTTGAATAAAATTCGTTTGAGGTGCATCATAAAAAAAATACTCAATAATAATAATGATAATGATAATAATAATAATAATATAAAACACTTAAATTTGTTAAAATATCATAAAATACCTAAAATTTGTTAATTAAAATAATTATATTGTAAAAGTATTGTAAAGCTTATTAAAATACTTATTAAGTTTTTAAAAAATACTTGCAACAATCTAGTTATATTTAAAAATAATTAAAATAAACTAAATATAAATAAGTTTATAGTAAATAAATAAAAAAAAAATTAACTAATTATAAATAAGTTTATAGTAAATAAATTCAATAATAATTAAATAAGTAATAAAATAGATAATAGTTAATTAAATCCGCAAAATATTGACTTGAGCCTTATTATAATATTATTATACCGACGGCTTGTAAAATAAATAAATAAATATATATTTGCAGTGTAATATTAGAGACCATTTTTAACTTCCCGTAGGGCAAGTTATAGTAATCGCAAAAAAATCGAAAATGAAAATGTTTATATATCTTTACGTTTCAGAGGTTTCTGAACATTTTGGCATACCTTAGAAAAAATGGATGTATGTGTGTGTGTGTGTGTGTGTGTGTATGTATGTATGTATGTATGTATGTATGTATGTATGTATGTATGTATGTGCGTGTGTGTATGTATGTGCGGATACAAATTTTCGTCGACGATTTCGGGAACACGGATCAACCGATTTGAATAATTCAAAAAACATTCGATTCGTATTAATAAGGAGACGTGCTGATTAGTTTTTGGCGAAAGCAGGTCTAGCCGTTCCAAAGATACGGGGCAAAAAGTGCCGAAAACGGTAACTCAGTTTTTAAGAGAACGGAGCGTCCGATTTGAATATTTCAAAAAACATTTTACTTGTATTGACAAGATAAAGAATTGATCAAATTTTCATGAAGGCAGGTCTAACGGTTTCGGAGATCTGATGAAAAAAGTAAAAAAAAATGCCATTTGGCGGTCAAAAATGATCATTAGACATATGCACATCAAATTATCAAATATTTTATAGAGATTTTAACAATAAGTATAAATTTTTTTTACATTTCTATGGGTTCCGTACCAATGTTTACGCGTTAGACGGCGACGCGGCGCTTACGGGCTTTGATATTTCGCCTTTATGCAGTTAAAGCAGTACGATTGCTCTGAAAAAAAGTTTAGATCTTCCAAAATATGTCAAAATAAAATAAAACATTTTTTTTTAAAAAAAAAAAAATAAAAAAAATTTTTTTTTTTTCAAAAAAAAGTAATTTTTTGTCCAATATATAGTTTCTCAAAAATCTTATTTTTTCAAAGTAAATTTTTTTCAAAAATCTTAATCGTTTTTAAAAAAAAAATTTTGGTACGGGAAGTTCCAGCAATTTGCCTTAAGGCACGATGCCTTAATTGCCTTAAGACAGAATTCCACTTACAGCTAGTTTATATTTATTTAAATAACTTCAAAACTGTGTTCCTTATGTAGCTAATTTAGTAGAAACTATATGAAATTTTGTTCCTTGCACTCCTTTCTAGTAAGCTTAGCACAAACAAGAAAGAAATTAACTACAGTTCTATAACATATAAAATAAATTTATATACCTCGATATGAATATTTTGAATGAAACTACTTCGAAATCGCTAATATATATTATACGAATTTGGTGGTGAGTATAAAGGATATTTTTTGACATTTATTTAAATAACTTGAAAATTTCATGCCGTACACTCTTTCTTAATTAGTTTAGTAGAAACTAAATTGATTTTACGACAATTCTATGTAAACAGATTTATATACTCCAATACAAGCATTTTGGATAAAATTAATTTGAAGACGCCAATGTGTATATCATACAAATTTACTACAGTATACGAGGGACATTTTTTTTAAATATTTTCAATGACGTTGATTATATAGCTACTATTTTGTATAAACAGCCTTTTAGGTTCTGGTACAAAAAAATTAAATGAAACGTGCTTGAAATTCAATAATGCTCTACACACAGAAATTCAGTACACTTATAAATAGCTCCTAAATTAATAAATCGACTTTTATTGATTAAGTCGATTATTAACACATCGGAAAGTTTGTGCAACTCGCCTCAAGGCAAAATGTCACTCGTGAGATTTGTTTTAAGTTACTATTACATTTGAGTAATCATATCGCTCTAGGGCCCGCACTATTTCTACCGCCGTCTGCAATGGAAGTTATTCGGCGCCCGATCGCCTAATGACGTAGCACAAGTGTTTTCTTAAGTGCAAAGTTTTCTTAAGGGGCTAATGGCGACACCACCACCACCACCACCACCAAAAGACAGACAGATAGTGCCAACCATTATCTATATCCACATCTACATCTACATCTTTATCTATCTTCCATTTTCGCATTAAATGTCGTGATAATGATGTATGTTAAAGGGTTTTCTTGGTAACCATCCAAAACTGACAACTTCTCGTGACAAAAGACTCAAAATGTTCGAATAACACCACACTGGTTAGGAGACTAGAGGGATGGAAAGGGATGAATTATCACTTTAGAGTTTCACAACTTTGTTTTCATATGGAAATGTCTTTCTCTTTTTTTTTCACTTCTGGTAGAGCAGGAATCATGACATGATTGATATTCGGGAATTTGAGGGAATGCTGCCAAGAACACCATGAGTGGGTATCGTTAACTTTAAATAGAGCTTTAGTAATAAAATAATGATGATGAGGTCTGGAAACATCTTTTTTATCCGGATAAAAAATATTTCTAGATTTCAACGTTAGCAAAACGAGTCGTTAGTATTAAAAAACAATTATTGGCAAAACACAATTCAAAATCGTTTTATTTAAAATTTTCGTATTGGAGTTTATAAGACTATAGTTAAAAATAGTAAATTTTATCTAGTTTCTGCTAAGCTGTTCAGAACAAAATGCCGAGAACAAAATTTCCAAGTTATTCAAATAAATATCAAACTAGCTGTAAGTGGAATTCTGTCTTAAGGCAATTAGGGCATCGTGCCTTAAGGCAAATTGCTGGAACTTCCCGTACCAAAAATTATTATTTTTTTAAAAACGATTAACATTTTTGAAAAAATTTTACTTCGAAAAAAATAGATTTTTGAGAAACTATAAATTTGACAAAAAAATACCGTTTTTTTGAAAAAAAAAATTTTTTATTTGAAAAAAAAATTTTTTTTTGAGAAATTTTTTTTTTTTTGAAAACAAAAAATTTTTTTGAAAAAAAAATGTTTTCTTCATTTTGACATATTTTGAAAATTCTGAACTTTTTTTCAAAGCAATCGCACTGCTTGAACTGCATGGAGACGAAATGTCAAAGCTCGCAGGTGCCGCGCCGCCGTCTAACGCATAAGCATTGGTACGGAACCCATAGAAATGTAAAAAAAATTATACTTATTGTTAAAATATCTATAAAAAATCTGACAATTTGATGTGCATATGTCTAATGATCATTTTTAACCGCCGAATGGCATTTTTTTTTACTTTTTTCATTAGATCTCCGAAACCGCTAGGCCTGCCTTTATGAAAATTTGATCACTTCTACATCTTGTCAATACAAGTAAAATGTTTTTTGAATTATTCAAATCGGACGCTCCGTTCTCTTAAAAACGGAGGTACTGTTTTTGGCACTTTTTGCCCCGTATCTTCGGAACCGCTGGACCTGCCTTCACCAAAAACTAATCAGCACGTCTCCTTATCAATACGAATCGAATGTTTTTTGAATTATTCAAATCGGTTGATCCGTGTTCCCGAAATCGTCGACGAAAATTTGTATCCGCACATACATACACACATACATACATACATACATACATACATACATACATACATACATACATACACACACACACACACACACACACACACACATACATCCATTTTTTCTAAGGTATGCCAAAATGTTCAGAAACCTCTGAAACGTAAAGATATATAAAAATTTTCATTTTCGATTTTTTTGCGATTACTATAACTTACCCTACGGGAAGTTAAAAAGGCCTTCAAATACCCTGCAAATTTGTTTAATATACATTGGCGGTTTCAAAATGAATTTATTCATAATATTCGTATAGGGCTGTATAATGTTGTTTATACGAGAAAGTTGTAATTTTTATCTAGTTTGTGCTAAACTAAATAGAAAAGATTGTCAAGTATAAAGTTTTCAAGATATTTAAAAAAATCTCAAAAAATTGGCACCTCATTCTTGACATGATTTTAGCCCTCCTAGCCATCGAAAATGCAAAAGATATAAAGATTATTAATCTACAATGATGTCGCATTCGCCCGAAC